AACTAGTAAACACTTTTAACAGTTACAACAACTACCGTAATTGTCGGGCTATAAGCCGCTACTTTTTGCACAAGCTTTGAACCCTGCGGCTTTTAGTCAGGTGCGGCTTTTCTATGGATTGTCCATGATTTTTGTGATATCGTAAGAGGATTTATTTTGTTTGTTCCGCTGTTGTACGGCACTACGTTGACTGGCAGGAGGGCATGTGATCAGACACACAGTATCGGGGTTCAAGAGTGGTATGTTGGTCACGTGTCCATTCGCCAGGCAACATAGTGCTGTACAAGTAGCGCGAAAAACAAACTTCAAATTAACGCTACGCGTTCAGCGGGAGTCGTGGATGACGAGCGGCGATAGACTTGCGAAAAGCAAATTATGCTTAACTCCACCGGTGGAACCTGACAGCGTGGAAAAGTGTGAAAACATCCATGATCACCAACGGATTTCAAAGGGCTGGACTGCTGCATTATGGAGAGGAAGACACCGCCACGGCCCTTCAGAGGGGGTTCGACTCTGACACTGACAACGAGGATTTCTTTGGTTTTGTAAGTGACAACGAATGAAAGAAGCTGAGAGTGGATGACGTAGCCATCCTGAGCCTGTTCGTATCCGACACTGGAGGAGAGGACTTTGGTGGTTTTAGTGCGCAGGAAGATGGTGGTGAATGACTGACTTTTCTTCTTGTTAAAGCCATGTCACTGCACCTGAGCCTAAAAGGTAGTCTGAATCTATTTTTCTGGTGTGCTGTAGGTTATTGTTATGTACTACATTTGTTACTCATTTATGAAGCACAGTACATGTTTCGTACTTGTAATTACCGCTACTTGTACATATACCTAAAAAGTTATGCAAATATGTACCCATAACGTGTTTTTCAAAATATTAATAAAAGGGGTGTGTCTCCAAACAGCCATCTCTTTCCTGACAATTCCCTTTGTGCATATTCTCCTACATATGATAAGTCAACATTGAAACACCTGCGGCTTTTGGTCAGGTGCGGCTAATGTATGTACAAAACAGGATTTTCCACTGATTTTAGCTTGTGCGGCTAATATTCAGGTGCGCTTTGTAGTCCGGGAAATACGGTAATATTTGAATGCAGAATGTTACACCATCACTTATGGATATATTTGTTTTTCGCCTCCCACTGCTTAAGCCATTAATCTTTCTAGAATTGTTCTTTGAAACAGATGCGACCTCACAAAAGATGTTAACGATGCTGTCAGACCTGACCAGAGCAGTTAACGAACTCCGTGAGGAGGTCAGAGCCAACCGCCATCCCTGCTGCAATGAATCTGTAGATGCTGGGGTATTGCCTCTGGATTTGCCTTTGCACAACATTGAGGAGCTAAACAATGCAGGGGCAGCCCTTCAATCACCGGAGGCAAATAAGGCAATGGTAAGTATATAAAGGTTATGTACACTTTGTAACTATAAAGTGTAATAGCTATCAGATTTGATTAAAATACATAACATGCCTGTTGATTAAACACACAAGCACTTGCGTACACATTTAAGACATGAGACATGCTAATTCCATCTCTTAAAATGTGTCTATAGGTGAGGCGCTTTGCCTTGATTGGAGGGACCACACTGGAGGTGCGAGTCTGCCGCACCGCCAAACGAGCTGGCCTCGGTACTCAATTGGGCAGGGAAAAAAACAAGGACCAGACAGCAAAAAATGGCATTTAAAGAGACAGCGCAGTGCAGATGCATATTTGGTAAGTTTTATCATTTATTGTAGTTTTATGAGCCTACAGTAAACAATAAAGGGATCAATTGATGTGCTGGGTGTGTTTCACATTTCCTATGTCCGGTTTTTGCTATATTACTTTGTCTTTCTTAATAACAAGACTTTCATGTCCGGTTAATCTGGAGATGGAGTCTTTGGTCTTCGGCTTGTTTTGTCCTCGGGTTGTACAGTTTGTACAGCCCAAGGACCCCATGTTTAGTTTTTTTTAAAGGATACACGGCACACCATGCCAAGACATCACATTTTCAGCTCATAGCTCTTTGGGAATCAAATGCAGCAGTTTGCTGATTTCCGCCTGGTGACTTTCAAGTTTATCAGCCTAGGAATTTACATACTTTCTCCCTGCTGGGGACAATTAACAAGAGCTTATTCATGTGTGTCTATGTGTGTCTATTTTTGTCCTAGATGCAGCAGGTAGGGGCAAACTCTATGTCTGAGTTTGTCTTTGCTCAAGCAGTCCAGAAATGGCTCAGATATGCTCCGGATTGTAAAAATTAAAAAGTGACGTGAAACATAGAAATCTTAATAGGAAACTTTGTCTTTTAATAAAATATTTTGCAAACGATACATGTCTATTGACCGTTTTTTTTTTTTTTCTGTTCTCTGTTACATGATGTGTGATGCTTTCTGTTTTTAGAACTGACTATTGACATGATACATTGTGAGACATTTTTTAACATATAAAGGGTGTCCAATTTGAGGAATAAGTACAATTATGTGTTTAGGTGGTTTAAATATGATGGAAACATGCAGTAGTTTAGTATTGATTAAAATACCTATAAAGAATGGTAGATTTCCAGTCATGATTTCCAGTAACTGTTGTTTCAATAAAAAGCAACTGTGCGAAAGAAGTGGAAAATCAACATCATAGTTCAACAGTGTTTCAATATTAGAATCTGACATTGTTTTGATGTCAACATTATTAGAAAATATAGCGTCGAATCAATGTCAGCTTTCAACATTGATTCAATATCAAAAACTGACGTTTCAATAACAATAAAGGGTGCAAGTGTAACGTTAGGTCAACGTCACACCTCAACGTTGATTCAATGTTTCCTTGCTATCTGGATCCCTTCTAGTGCACACCCGTGACATATACAATTATTTAATCCTAACAAAAAAATATTGGAGACTTCCCACGTACCACCAGACATACAGTGGGGCAAAAAAGTATTTAGTCAGCCACCGATTGTGCAACTTCCCCCACCTAAAATGATGACAGAGGTCAGTAATTTGCACCAGAGGTACACTTCAACTGTGAGAGACAGAATGTGAAAAAAAATCCATGAATCCACA